ACTTTGCCAAGGTATCATCATCATCTTGCTCTTTATTAAAGAAAGCTTCTCTAATTTGCCATGGACTAAAACATCAATAATATGTTAAGGTATAATTTACATTAACTGATTCATAAATCCAACCTGAAGCACTCAAATGGATAAGACTATTAAATTATGACAAACAAGAAGAATAAAACCTAAAGGATACAACAATTCACTTTGGAAAACTTTGTATTTCATGTATTAAAAGTGCTTCAATAATCAAATAGTCTATACTGGCAGAGCAGTGGATTTGTATTTGAAGGGATCAGATTAAAATTAATCTTTCCTTTTTCATATTTGGAGGGCATGAGGTGAATATTATGGTTATAAAGATAAGGGATGGTCCATTTGTTACCCAGCTTCAAGCAATCCCTGGTTAGGTATAAAGGTCAGTCTTCTTGCTTACCCTAACTCAGAAGAGAATCCCCTATTCCTTCAGTGCGACTTCCATTCCAGGTTTACCTCCTCTCCTCTAAGGGAGGTTGCAAATTTGGGGTTGAAATGTGAAAATTGTGTCCTGTCCAAATATTAGCTATAAACTGGATCACGATTACCGTAAATTAATTTTACACATCTTGTAGCTGGACCCAAAGCATTTTTTAAACTGATTGCCCTCCATGGATCAAATTTGACATGAGTGAGCTTGCTCCAACGCCTGACAAAATGTAAAATGAGATTGAAATCCTCTCCTTGCACAGCGTGCCCTATTTACCAATTCTTTCTGCACTAGCACAATAGGCCAAATGGCCCCCTTTTGTGCTATAAAATAATGTGCTTCTATAATGACATTAATAGAAATTCTAGAGAAATCAGGCTGGCTGAAAAACAAACACATGGAAGAAACGTGAAAGTTAAATTTAAATGATGATGCCCTCAGTCATTTATCATCCTGTAATGTTAATATTGAATAGTGAGGACAAATAGTCATTAGGTAGCAAACTAAAAGAAAATAAGTACAAATGGACACATTTCCAGAGATATTGTGCAGATACAATGGAAACAACGTCTGTAGCTTATAGAAGCTTACAAGTTAGATGGTTTGATTGTTCCATCAAATCTACTGTGAATTACAACCTACAGTACACAAACAGACCTCTATTGCTTAACTAAAATCACAAGGAGTTACCCTTCCATGATCAAATAGCTGCTAACAATCTTTAAAGAAGTCACGTATAAATAGTTAATGCAGTCTACAGGCAAGAAATTCCAGTCTATTCTTCTGAGTATTTATGACTGTACTATCATTCACATTTATTGTAATGAATGACTACATTTGTTTAATAATAGATAGATTAAAATTTATAATGCAAAACTTTGATCCTGTTTAATCTTGATAGATTACTTTTGAGAAGGTTCAGAATTCTGGACACTGCTGGGGCTAAAATGAGCATTCCTTTGTATGTATGCAGTGTCCATGTGCAATACATTCTACATAATGTAAAGAGGCACTGGTAATACTTGTATCAGAGGACTGACAGCTGCTGTTCTATAAATTAAAAATATTGTCTGAAAGCAGGAAACCTTGTGCTCAAACTGAAAGTACATAGATGCACAAATATATAACATACCCTAATTGGCAATTGAAATAGTTATTTAGTGAAGGAACTTTCAAGAGGCAACAGATTAAACATTAAATACCACCAACTGGTTCTTGAAACAGTATCCCTGCCAGAATATTGAATGGTTTACTGAAAGCTACAGACCAATTTAGAGCTGTCACATTTTCAACACGAGTTACAAGGACAGATTCCCCTTGTAAACATCAACACCACCCAGTGTGGAAAGTAATACTGTAAAATATACAAACATTTGGGGTTCCCTTCTGTGGACTTGCGTGACATACAAGAACTAAAGTACTTTTGTCAGCATCTCCACTTGATTGTCTCAGATAAACATTACTGAGTTGGGAAGATTTAAGGATTTTTGATGTAAAATGAGGTGCTAATCTACAAGTCACTTGAAGGCATCAGTTATCTGTATTGTGTAGATAACCCTCAGCTAGCTGGACTAGTGGTGGTGGCTGTGGGGGAAGAGATCTGGTCCGACAAGCTACAATTTCCAACTAAGTGCAATTACAATGCTGGTAATGCAAAACATGTATATGCAGTGCCGGTAAAGCGCTGCATATGAATTTCTACCGCTATATACAAGAGTAGTTACTCACCCACCGGATACCAATGGATGGTGAGGCAGGAAGCAGTGGGGATCATGTGGGCTGCTCAGTGCAACGTTTGTAGATTCCTGCAGCCCAATGAGGAGAGTTGGGGTGCCGGAATCTGTTCACAGGCAGGCCTGATGACATTCTTTTTAAACAATTATTTTGGTTTCAGGCCAGGTTTGAATTCTGGATACTCGGAGCTGGGGTTTTCTGCATTTTCTTCTCAATGAGGAGTTCCATCAGAACGGCTGCTGATGAATTGCAGCACGTTCTCTAGAGTACATCTGTTAAAATGTGTTAGGATGCAACTGATGTTATAAAGTAATAACTTATGTCTCTAATATAGTGCAATTAGCAGTCAAAACATTACCGAATAACCTGCATGGGGATACCATGATCATATCCAACAGTGTGCATCCCATGGTCAAAGGGAGAATATAAAAATCCCCGGTGAGGTCAGTAATTGTTATTAAACCATACACTTTTTGTGATGCAGAGGATTAATGTTGTCCACATGATGCCACAAGCAGAGTTGCTACCCAAAAGTTCATATCATGAAAGTGACTGCAGCATGATGTACCATATTTATTCCATACTCATGTTATAACTGTTGTTGGTATCACATGTTTGTGCTCAAGTGAAACAAGGATCAGCAGAAATCTTCATTTTGTTCAAGATGAAAAGTGGACACTATGGAATAGTTTGGCCTGATGCAGGACAAAAATCCATTTTAGAGATGGGGTTTCCCCAGTAACATAAGAGAGAGTTTAACACCCCATTTCTGTTCTTTATGGGAGAGGTTAGTAAATACATTATACATCTGTCAGTTATAATATACTTAGTGCAGTAGGAACTTATTTTTTCAGGGATCAATTATTTCAAGCATTTCCAAAGTCTAAGTTTCCCCTCAGACAGATGCACTTCGGTCTTCCATTTTTGTCTGGGGACAATTCTACCAACAAGCCGCACACTGGCACAGTGGTGTGTTCAATCATTATTCAATATGAGCATGGAATAAAATACAGTGGAAGCCGGTTAAGATGGACATATCTGGGTCGGACATTTTGTCTGACTTAAGAGGTGTCCGAGGTTAACTCAAATACCCTTCCCGCCTAGCAGAGGAGCCCTGCCGACGCCGTATAATAGTATATAATATTGTTGTTTCACTTGGAGCAATGTTTACTAACCGGTTAAAGTTGAACTACTCTGTCACACAATTCAGTAAAAGATATTTACTTTGTTTAACTACAAAATACCAGCAGAGGAGCTTCCTCCCTCCCATTGCCGTTCCCATTGGACGGGAAGGGGATCAATTAGCAGCGGATTAGAGGCGATTCTGTGAAGTGCTTTGAGACGTCTCGGAGACGGGATCAGGCGCTGTATCAAATACAAGGATTTTTTTCATTATGATCAACAGCCTGTAGTTGCTTGTGATTGGACGGGCACTCCAGCCATTCACAAGCAGCTCCAGGCTGTCAATCAATCGCGATATCCCTCCTGTTCCCCCCCTCACTGATTGACAGCCCAACTCCAGCTGCTTGTCAATGGCTGGACTCAGCTGTCAATCAATCACGATTTGATGTTTCATATCTACATCAGGGATGGGGACACCACAAAAAGCCCGAGTGAGGAGTGATTTTGCCGGTAGCCAGTGGGATACGTAAAACGGATAAGAATACAAATGAATCGGGGTTCGATTTACCCAGCGTCCGGGGGCAAACCGGCGTACAGCAAAAGCGGATTCCACTGTATTTATAATGCACTTATTCTCGTTGGTCACAGATTGTTTATAAAGTGCAACAGACAATATAAAGTGAGCTATCTATGGAGTTATTGCCTGCTTTTGAACCCCCCCCCCCCCCAACTATTTAATGGAGGAGAGGAAAAGATGTGCGTGCACTGGATGCGGTACACACTGTTCTTGGAGAGTACTCTCGGAATAGAGTAGCATTCCAATTTTGGTAAACTAAAATTACAATTATTACAATACATGCAAAACTTCACATATCACATTTGTGCCAATTTAAACACACTTCAGATGACTTCTATTTTGTTTAAATTGCCATATGATGACAATGACCACAGTCTTCTATAACTTAAGAGCTGTACAAAAGCTGTTCTTCTAGGAAAATAATGGGACACTTGGCTCATTGTGGGTTGAATCAAGTGGAAAACAGTTTGCTACAACGTTACTTACAGCAAGCGGGTTCCGACCGTTCAAGGAGGAGAATGGGTGCTGATTTTTGTTCTTATTCCCCTTCCTCCTTGGATGCTTGTTTTAAGATTCTTTCAAGGTGCGGGTCGTTCTGATTTTAGTTTGACAGAGACGCAGCTACTTAAAAGGTAAAAGCAAACACCCGCAACTCATCTTTAAAAAGTGCTCTTCGTGTTCGTAATCGTTCAAAGGCTCCACGAACGGAAAGATTGTAAAAAAAATTGCACCGTTAGTTACCCACTCAAACCACAGCGATATTCCACGCTTTTGGAATTCCTCCAGTTGTGTGTGTTGAGGAGGGGGAGGAGGGGGGGGGGGGGGAGGGGAAGAGATGGGAAGAGGTTATAAATCAAACTCCACTGATTTGGAAAGTGAAAGGCGCTGTTACCTAAATGTGATTTGTTGTTGATACTGTTTTCTCTTCCAAAGGTTTGGGCCCCAAAATAACAAAGAAACAAACAGAATAAAGCTGGAGTCTGAGGCATTGCATTGGGCTGTTTCTCGACTGTGCGGGTGGTGGAGATGGCCGGAGAGAGGGGATAGGGAACAGATGGGGAAGGAGGGGAAGGGAAGGCAAGGGGTTTGGAGGCTGTTTAGTGGCCGTCAATCTTCCTCCTCCTCCTCCTCCTCGCTCTCGGGGGCGGCGGGCTGGCGGCTCAGCTCTGCCCTGCGGTCGCGGCGCCTCTCCTGGATGCCCCTCATCTCCTCGGCGTACCGGAGGAAATGGTCCCCGAAGCGGGCCCAGGCCTTGCAGGGCACAGTGATGGAGTGTCGGTACGAGGGCTTGACCTCGCTCACCCGCAGGAACACGCCGTAGCGGTTGGAGCCCACGTCGAAGAAGAAGCGCTTGTTGTCCACCGGCACCGAGATACCCTCGGGCAGCTCCTCGGGGCCGGCGGCGGCGGCGGCTCCCCCCACCCCCGCCCCGGCCTCGTCACCACCGGAGCCCGAGGCTGCAGAGGCCGCCGACGCTCCTCCGCCGTAATCCTCCACCAGCTTGGCCAGCGCGTCCCGGAACTCGATCAGGCCCTGGGCGGGCAGCGCGATGGTCTGTCCCTGTCCCGAGTAGCCCCAGCCCGGCCCGCGGCTCAGTGTCTGGCGGATGCGCAGGAAGCGGCCGCGCTGGTTCTCCTTCAGATCCAGGTAGTACTTGCGGTTCTCCCGCACCAGGTACTCGCTCTTCAGCACCCGCTGCTGCTGCTGCTGCTGCTGCTGAGCCCCCGGCTCCTCCGGCCTCCCTGTCCCCGGGCCCTGCTGCTGGGGCTGCTGTGGGTGTTGTTGGGGTCTCCGCCTCTCCTCTCCGCCGCCGCTCCCCCCTGAGCTGCTGGGCCCGAGCTGCGCGTAGTGCTCGATGAAGTCGCCCAGGGCGTCGCGCATCTCGGCGGCCACGGCCATGGAGACGGTGAGGCGGCTCTTGTGGCCCCCGGAGCCCACCTCGGCGATCTTCAGGAAGCGGCCCCTGGCGTTCTGCTTGACGTCCAGGTAGAAGCGCTTGTTCTGGATGTCCAACCGCCGCGACGCCAACTCCTCCGTCTCCAGCATCATCAGCAGCAGCGGCGGCGGCGGCGGCGGAGGAGGAGGAGGAGCGGCGGGAGGAGGGGGAGCGGCGACGGCGGGAGGTGGAGGAGAGTCAGGCCGACCTGACAGTAGCAGGAGATGCGGCGGCGGCGGCGGTGGTGACGGGCTGGGCTGTTGCTGCGGTGGGTCCGGGCCCGAGGCCGCGGGTAATAACGGGCCGCCGGGGCCCAGAGCGGCTCCTGCTGCGGCCGCCGCCCCGCCGCGGGGATCGTGGTCGCCGCCACCGCCGCCTCGGTTCTCCATGTGTCGGTGGAAGGGGGGCGGAGGCGGGGGGGGGAGAGGGGAGGAGGGGCTGGCGGGAAGCGCTCGCTTCTCTCACCGGCCTCGGGAGTGAGGGTCGAGCAACAGCTGCTACCGCGGCGGGTTGTCCTCTAACTGAGGCGCGGGGGTGGGGGGGGCAGACGTGCCCTCAGTGTGTGGCCCGGTCTCTCTCTCTCTCTCTGCACTGTCACCGACAGACAGACTAACAGACGCTCTCTCTCTCCGAGCGCAGACTCGGGCAGCTCAGCCCATACGCTCGGGTTTGCTCAGCAATTACACGACGTCTTGTAGCCCAAAGTCCACCACAAGTAGCCCAATGTCACGCGCCGTCTCCCAGGTACAGTGTGTGTGTGCGCGCGCGCGCGCGCGCGTATCGTTTTTTTTTAAAAAAAGAATCTTTTCAGTCAGAGAAAGGACCTTCCCAGGAAGATTTTTCAGGGTTTATCATTTTTTTCTTAAAAAAAAATAAAAAATTAGACACTCGACCAAAGCTGTTTTGCTTTTTTTGTGTTTTTTTTTAAAAAACGCACCAGTGCAACAAAAAACCCGCCCGATTGGGCGTGAAGCCGCCCAAACTTTGGCTGGGCGGGCGGGAGGGGCGGGGAAACCGCTCGTTGCCCTAACAACGGTCCGTGGGACAGCGTCCCTCGCGCCGCGGCGGCGGCGGTTGCGCTGGTGGTCCAGGCGTCGCCTAACGATCGCCGAGAGGTTCGAACGCCGCGACGCCAAGCCAAGCGCGCGCAGGTAAATCGATCGGGGAGGGAGGGAGGGAGGCGCGTGGTGATCCTTTGGAGAGCTGTCACCGCGCAGGGCAGGTGCGGACTGCGCCAGCGCGTGAAGTAGCTCCTCCCCCGCCCCGCCCCTCCCCCCCCCGCCCCTCCGCGGTGGGGACGAAGCGGGAAACGCGAGAGCCGCTGTCACGTGGTGTCGAACGTCTCAAACGGTCCGCAGGGAGAGAGCGGCCCAAACACCGGCGGCGCGGAGACCCGGTGAGTCCCCGACACACACACACACACACACACACCCTGACTGACGGCTTTATATATTATATATAACGGTTGTGGTGAACCACTGAGGAAACCCATCACCGTATTTCAGAGTCTCCAAACCAAACCGAGAATCCCAGGCCTCACCTCCACAGGGAAAGCCCACACACAGCTGCTGGGACGGTGCGCGCTGTGCTCTGTCTCTCTGTCTCTCTGTCTCTCGCTGGAGGGACACATCCTGTTTGCCTCATTCCAGACAGTGTTCGGCGCAGGTTGGCAAGAGCCGAGGCTCGGGGGACCCCAGAGCGTGCGGTGGGGTAACTGCTGGAGCCTAACCAGTTAAACCCGTGTAACTTGCCATTGATGCCGCAGTCTGACAAGCTTTCCCGCTGCTTGTCCAGCTGGGACCACCCGACAACAACAACAACAACAAGATTGGATTTATGGAGCGCCTTTCACGTCAGGAGGACGTCCCAAGGCGCTGAACAGTTGGGTCGGGGCCCACCCTTGGGGGGGGGGGTGGGAAATGGTCAGGGTGAGGGGAGGGAAGGGAGGGAGGGAGCGAGGAGGGGGTAGAGAGTCGAGAGGAGAGCTGAAGGCACCCTACCCCTTAGGGCTTTGGCTTGCAGGGTTAACAGGAGCTGAGTGGGATGACTCCCTGCCCCCAGTGACTGGTCTGCCCTTCCAGGTCCTGCTGATGAGCCAGACTGGGCTGTGCTGTTATCAGCCCTGGAATACAGCGGACCCGCCTGGCTCAGGAACCAGACTAGAGACCATCACTGGCTCGATTCTGACAGTCCATTGCCAGGCATGTCACCGGGGAGCCAGTCCAGCTCCCAGGAGATGTCGCTTACTTACACCCGCCCCCCACCCACCCGGCCGGGAAGGAGTCATTAGTGCTCAGCGATCGTGTAACTATTTCGCATGTGGGAATCTCATTAGTTATTGGAATAACGTGTTTCATGATAATAACAAATAAGAAAGGAGTGGATAATGGTCAAAAGCGTAATCGAAGAGGAGGATCTTGAGTGTTCTCACTGGAGAATTTCCATATCGCATCCGAGAGCATGTTATGATTAAAAGGAGAATAAAAGTGGAGAACACTTTTGCACAAAGTAGTCTTTTCCAAAAATTGTAGAAATGTATACAGCATATATATAACTGTATTTTTCTACCTGAAATAAGGATCCTTGCTTTTAGCACATCCCTGGCCCTCAGCTCCTATACCACTGTTTATAGGGAAGTTACTGGGGAAGATTTTGGTGTATCACAGAGCAGTCCATTTAATGGTTGTGGTTAATTTGGACCTGCTTGTGTATTGGTCCACAGTGCTTCAATCCCTCCACTTCATCACCTCTTTATCTACCTTTAGTATCCTACCTTAAAACCTACCTCTTCGACTATGCAGCGGTCACTGGGCAGTGGTCTGAAACACTATCCAGTGTGAATATATATATATGTATATTTCTGAATGAAAATTATTGTTGAGTATCTGAAGTCAGAAAAGACAAGGTATTGGTGTGTATTGTTGCCTAGCTGCCAGTACTGTCCTCCAGTCACGTACTCATACTTTGGTGCTATCTTTCAGATGCCTTTGGTACCAGAAATAAAGGGTGGCTATTCAACCTGCTTCCAATGCTCTTCAAGCACTAGTCTTCAACTTAACTCCTAGAACGTGCATTCAAGGGCTGTGGTTGGTTTGATCTTTGTGAGCTCTGGTCCATAGGAATGGCTTACCTTCCTGATCAACAACTCTCAGGATTCAATAGGAATTGCTGCAACTACTGATCTTTTATTAGGAAGTCTCCAGGACAAATTTTGTGAGATTAAGTTAAGGTGGTGGCAAACAGCACCAGGAGTAATCAAGGTGTAAAATTCCAGTGTTTTGATAAAGTGAAAACCAGTCTTATACCTGACCTCAGCTAAACGTTGCTCAGTGATGGACAGCAACCGGTCAAGGAGTGAAATCACTATCTATAAATGAAATTATTTCTATTACTACTGAGATGTAACGTCTTGATTGACTGAAGAATTTTTTTTAATTTTTTCTCTTAAAGAGTATTTTACCACATGGTTGAGAGATGAACAATCAGCAGCGTAATCTCCCTGACTGGATGGGATCAGAAGAAGGGAGAAGAGGGGACGGACAGAAGAAGGTCTGCAGGAATAAGTGGCTATTTCTACCAGTCTTTGGTGCTTTCTTTTGGCTGAAGCTTGGATTGAAAGTTAGAATTGTTCTAATTTGATTGTATGGTCCTTTTTGTTTTTTTTAAAAAATATTCATTTCAAGGATTTGTACCTGAAGAAGAATATTCTGGAGGACACGCTTCCCTTCCTGGAGTTTCCTGGGTCCATTGTGTGCAGCTATGAAGCTAATGACTGTTCTTTTTTGTCAGAAGACATGAGGTAATGGGTTCAGAGCGAGTGACTACAATTCCCGTCTTCCTGGTTCATTGCAATGCTGGTGTTCTCAGTTCTGATTCTCTTGTTTTACAATCACCAGCTTTTCTCTCCAATTAATACTTGTAATCCTAACACTTAATATAGCAGTTTATCATGTCATTAAAATATGACAACGCCCTCCACGGATTTACTGTAAAGTGGAATTACTGTATTTGTGAGTGGACACAGCAGCCAATTTGTGCACAGCAACCTTCTACAAACAGTCATGCAGTGAATCACCATTTTTTTTATTTGAGGGAATCTTATCCAGGATAGCGGGCGAAACTCCCTTCTCTGTTTGAAAAGTACCATGGGATCTGCCTGTTCAGGTGGACGCGAAAGATCCCATGATGGTTTAATGTCTCATCTGAAGGATCCATTTTCAAACTGCCTGTACACTGAAACCACCTTCAAATCCCGTCTAAAGACCTACCTTTTTGATCATGCTTACGGTCACTTCTCCCTTCCCTCTCCTCTTGGCTCATTGTCAGACTCCGCAATTGTGAAGCGCTCCGGGACTCTACCCTGCGTGAAGGGCGCTATGTAAATGCAAGTTGTTGTTGTTGAGCAGGCCAGCACTCCCCCTGCTCTAGACGGCGAGTGCAAAGTCCTGAAATAGGGTTTCAACTCACAACTTTCTGACTGAGAATCAAGAGTGCTACCAACTGAGCCAGGCTAGCAGCTATAGCCAGTGTCAATAGCATTATTTTAGAATGAATTTTTTGGAAATTCTCCAGTTCGAACACTGATGTTGTGATGAACGTCATTATCATATTGTGAGAACTTATTGATTGAAATCCACAATTTTAGGTACCCACTGTCTCCCATCAGAATTGTTTAAAAAGTACAGATTGTACATTATTTCACATTCACGCAGAAACATGGCCAACTAGGTTCTGGGTGCTGCTGTGCGATGTACTTTGGAACGCAGTGCTATCAGTCCTATGGTGACCTGTTGCTGAGTCTCCGCTGTTCACCGAGACCAAGCAGAAGCTCTCTGGGCTGATGACCTTGCCAATTGACATCAATTTAAGCTTATTTGCACTGTCGATCATCAAATTCTCCTGAACAGTAAACTGATAATGTCACTGGGCTTCCTCTTTAAGCAATAATAAAAAAGATACAGATTTAGCAAATTGTTTCAGTTAATGATGATAGGTGACTTCTCATTAAAACTGATAATTTGATATCCCCCCCAAAATAATAATTTGATCACTCAATCCACGACTGTTTGTGGGACACTGCTGTGTACAATTGGCTGCCGTGTTTCACCCACAAAATACACAATCACTATGCAGCATATTCTGTGAAGCGCTTTGTGACATCTTGAAAACGCGATAAGGCGCTAGCTATATCAAATGCAAGGATTATTATTATTTTCAAATGTCGTTTCAGGCAGTTTTTATAATATTTAATTTGATATCTCCAATTTGCAAACTCCATGTTGCAACAAAACACCTTAAAACGCTTCACACAATAAGTTTCTTAGAAGTATAGTGACTGTTCTTATATTAGCAAATGCAGCTGAGAATCTGTGTCAGCCGTGCCCCACAAATAGCAAGAAGTTTGGTGAATGGCAAACTTAATGTTGTTTTGCTAATTGGGATGAGGAAGGAGTATTGACCAGACTTATCTCCCTGATTTTGAAATAGTGCTGTTGGGTCTTTTGTGACCAACTAATTTAGAAGAACTGGCAGGTGAAGGTTTGGAGCGTTTTAAATATAAAACATGCTGTTTTATTGCATTTTTCAGACTTTGCTTACCGGAAGGATCAGCTGTTGGGTTTGACATAGAATGGCCTCCATCATACATGAAAGGAAAGGCGGGGAAAGTTGCCCTTGTTCAGTTGTGTCCTTCAGAGAAGAAGTGCTACCTTTTCCATGTCTCCTCTATGTCAGGTCAGAACTTAAACATGTATTTTCTTTCTCATTTGTGTTTATTCCCAGAATGTCTCCTCTTCTGTCTCCCCTCATACAGTGGATGGCCATGCGCTGAGTGCCGTCCTAGCTGGACTATTCCAATGCCCTCCTTGCTGGTCTTCCCAGCTCCACAATACACATAATTCAATTAATCCAAAACTCTGATGCCTGGATACTCACTCGCATGAAACTCCGTACCCCCATCACACCAGTCATTGCCAGGCTCCGTACCCCATCAGCTACATGCCCTGAAACTCTGGAACTCTCTCCCTCAATCCCTCCTCCTTGTCCCCTCCCTCCCTACCTTCAAATCCCGCCTAAAAACCTTTTTGATCGTGCTTACGATCACCTCCCCCCTCCCTCTCCCCCTGGCTCATTGTTAGACTCCGCTACTGTCAAGCGCTCTGAGATGCTACCTCAAGTGAAGGGCGCTATATAAATGCAAGTTGTTGTCATCCGATGAGATGTTAAACCAAGGCCTGGTTCCATAAAGATTCCCAGGCACTATTCAAAAAGAAAATGGAGCTGGTTTTGATGACCTGGCCAACAATTCCCCAAATAAAATTGGTGATTCATTACATGGCTGTTTGTGGGACGTTTGCTGCTGCATCCGCCCACAAAACACACATTCGCATACCACTTTACAGTAGTGCTTTGATACTTCTCGACAATGTGATAAGGCGCTATATCAAATGCAAGGATTATTATTATTATCATCATCTTTTCAAGTATAGGTATATGGCTCCATTGCACTGCCAAGCCTCTGGGACCACACTTTAGTGCCTGTTCGTAGTGTATTTGTGGAGTGATTAGTGATTAGAGTACTTGCCTCGCAAGTGAGAGACTTGGGTTTGATTCCCAGCAGGGTGAAATGTTGGGCAAGTTTCCTCGCTCCACACGTCTCTGTTTACCTAGCAGTAAGTAAGCCCTGTTGTTAGTCGATGGTGGATTGCTTTTCCGGGGGTAATAATTCCTTAAAAAAAATATTGGCCACTCAATCCACGACTGTTTGTGGGACACTGCTGTTGCAATTGGTAGCTGTGTTTCGCCCACAAAATATAGTCAGTTCACTTTACAGTATATTCTCAAAGACTTGATAAGGCGCTACATCAAATGCAAGGATTATTGTTATTATTTGAGCCTATACAGCAACAACTTGCAGTTACCCAGCGCCTTTCACATAGGAATACATTTACAAAGTGCTTTACAGAGATGGGGTGGGAGATGGTGGCAGAAGGCAAAGTTATACAGAGGTTATAGGATGGGTTTTGAAAGCCGAGATGCGGGAGAGATTTAAGGAGGGAGTTGCAGAGCATGGGGGCGTCCTTCCAATGTGAAAGGTGTTAAGCAAGTATAATACTGTATTGTATAGCGGCAGAGTGACTAAAAGCCTGTGCACCAAATGGTAGAGCGCAGGGACATGAAGCAAGCCTGATTCGATAGGGCAGAGGGAGTTAGCAGGGGAATTGGACCGCAAGAGACAGGGTGGAGAAAGATTGTAGAAGCATTTGAAGGCATGGATGAGGATCACACTGTTGATCCACTGGGGAATAGAGAGCCAGTGGAGCCTGACAAGGATGGGAAAATAAACACAATTTAAAGACAATGGAGTCATGGTGGGGCATGCTTGGGCTTGGATGTGAAATTTCTGTACTGTCTGATTAAACAAAAATCTAATAGAATATTCACAAGTGCCCTGGAGAAACACCCAAGCAGGAAAAGGTTCAGGTATATAGAGAAAGAGTTTGAAAGTGGGATGAATGAAAAGTGTAATAAATTAGGTAACAATGGATCAGGCACAATGGGACAACTTGCTTCGGCGCTGAGAATTACTGTTTGTGTAAAACGTGCGTCTTCAGCTTTGCTTGGACTTGTGCTTCACTTAGATTGCCATTTACTGAAGGAATCAAGACTTTATTAATCACAGTTTAATTCATTTTAGGTTTTCCAAGTGGGCTGAAAAGATTACTGCAAGATGAAGCGATTAAAAAAGTTGGTGTTGGAATTGAATGCGATCAGTGGAAACTGATGAGCGACTGTGACGTTAAACTCAAAGGCTTTGTTGAACTCACTGATATGGCTAATAAAAAGGTAAATCTGTCATTTCTTCTATTTAAAAGTAAGTCAAAATATTACTGGTTTGAGCAATGGAACCAGTAACCTTTTGAAAGCAGAGTTGGTTGGATGGACTCTGAAAGATTTTCAGTGTAGCATGCGCATCCAATAGATTTAGTTACAAGATAAACTGCAACAACCGCATCAAATTATTGGCATAGTAACAGAGAGATCGAGTGGTTTCTGAACACTCTAAAAATGCTTCATAAATGGAGTAAATCTAGATCCAGTTGGAACTTTTACCCCACTCTGGGCTCACATCTCAAGATGGCCATTTGGGAGGACAACTGTTGCCATTGAATTATGATTAGTATTTAGTACTCATGATTAGTTAGTCAGTACTTCAAAGATGGGGAGGAGGGAAATGAATTGGTTGTCCTACCTTGGCAAGCAGGTATGCTGGAGCTGGCAGCATCACTATCCAAGGATGCACAGTCCACCTCACCGAGCCAGTGCGGATCCTTGGCGTCTTGTTTGACACTTAACTATCCTTTCTCCCCCACATCCGCACCCTGACCTGTTCTGCCTTCTCCCGCCTCCGCAACATCGCCCTGCTCCGCCACTGTCTCACATCGTAGGCTGCCGAAACCCTCAAACACGCATTCAGAAAATCCAGACTTGACTACGCCAACTTTCTGCTTGTTGGCCTTTTTCCTCCACATGCTGCAGATCACCCAGAACCCTGCAGCTTGTGTCCTCTTCCGCACCAGGCTCCGTGATCCCATCATCCCCCACCCTCGCCCAGCTCCACTGCCTCCCCATCCCCCAGAGGATAGAATTTAAAATCATCATCCTTGTGTTCAAAGCCCTTCACAGCCTTGGTCCTTCCTACCTCTGTGATCTGCTAACCCCATATCAACCTCTCTGCTCAACAGGTCTGCTCCCATGTCCCGCACCTGACACACCCCAACATTGGCGATTGGACTTCAGCCTCTCTGGCCCCAATCTCTGGAACTTCATCCCATAGTCCCTTTGCCTTGCTCCTTTCCTTGTCTCCTTCAAGACATGTCTCAAGACCCTCTTTAACTGTGCCATCGGTCACCCTCCTTCCCCTATCCTCCCTGCCCTCCACCCCTCCTGATCCCAACCCCATGCTCGGGTCCAAATCCCTGACTGTCAAGTGCCTTGGGACATCCCCCCAACGTGAAAGGAGCTGTGTAAATGTAATTTTGTTGTTGTTCTACGTGTAGGATCGGTAATTTTGACACCACAAATCCAGGAATGTATACGTGGTTTGTGTGATTCAATGTTGAAGTGGGGTACGTGTGTTCACTCCATTAACTCAAACAAGCTGATGTTTACAAATGTTTGTACTCGGTTTCTGAAACATGGTTTTGTGTGCTGTGAATTAGCTGCAGTGTGCAGAGAAGTGGAGTCTAAATGGGCTGGTGAAGCATCTGTTCAAGAAGCGGATGTGTAAGGATGACGCTGTGCGCTGCAGCGGTTGGGATCAGTTTCCACTCAGTGATGAGCAGCAGCACTACGCAGCGATCGATGCTTATGTAGGTACTTACAGTTGAAGCCTCCCCCTTCCCGTGGTAGTTTTGAGGGGTCCTTAGAATCCCAACACGACAATTTTGCAGGTCAGCACTCCTGAATCGTGACATCCCCAATCACATGAACAGTCCATGCGAATTTCAGGCAGAAAGCGATCCAGCTCCATTGGTACAACAACAACAAATGACGTTTACATAGCTCCTTTTGAGTCGGAAGGACGTCCCAAGGAGATGGACAGTCAGGGATTTGGCACACATCGTGATGCAAATTACGACACCGCTCTTCTTGTTTTGTTGCACCTCAAACCGACGGAGCTGGATGGTTTGCCACACACAATTTAACCACACTTCAAGTCCTTTAACCCGCAATATAATGAAGCGCATTATTATAGGGTTCTACCTTATTAATTTCAGTTATAGACACCAGTCCTTTAACATAGCATTTCTGTTAATTTTATAAGAAAATGCCTTTGCCCCCCAAATCCTCCATAAATAATAAAAATACTTGCATTCGATATAGTGTCTTATCACATCTTCAAGATGTCTCAAAGCGCTTCACAGAATATACTGTAAAGTGAATTGACTGTATGCGTTGTGGGCGAAATGTCGGGCGAGATTCTTTACTCCACACGCCTCTGTTTACCTAGTAGTAAACAGGAACCCGGTTGTTAATCGATTGGCAGATTGCTTTTCCGGGGGTAGTAATCTCCAAAAAAAATAATTGGTCACTCAATCCATGACTATTTGTGGGACACTGCTGTGCGCAATTGTCTACCGCATTTCGCACACAAAATATACAGTCAATTCACTTTGCAGTATATTCTATGAAACTCTTTGTGATGTCTCAAAGACATGATAAGGCGCCATATCAAATGCAAGGATTATTATTATTATTTTCCCTAATCGACTGCCCAGCCACCTAGACAGACAATAAAGCTAATAAAGCCACCTGATCTTCAATGAACCACGACTCACCACTGTTTATATTCTCTCTTCTCTCCAGGCTGGCCTTTTAATTTACCAAAAGTTGAACAGTGTGGATGTTAGCGGAGGCAAACTGTTTGGCGGTGAAAATGGTAATTTGTGTTCCAAAAAGTTTTTGTTTTCAAAAATATGTGTTTTAAATGTCAAAAGTTTGTTTGAAATTTTTAAAAAATATATTTTTGTTGTGCTCACAGCTGCAACACTATTTTCCTAACAAAATGTGATGACTGACGCCCCTGTAACCCAGCTTCTGCATGGCTTTAATGCATCTGCCACTGGGCTGCCATGGGATCACTTATTTAATTCTCTTCTAATATCATGCATTTATTGCATCAGGGCATATTGAGCTACAGTACGTGGAGTCCTGTAGCTCAGTGGTTAGAGCACTCGCCTCGCAAGCCTCCACATGCCTCTGATTACCTAGCAGTAATTAAGAACCTGGTTGTTAGTTGATTGACGGATCGCTTTTCTCGGGGTAATAATTCCTTCAAAAAAATAATAATTTGGTCACTCAATCCATGACTGTTTGTGGGACACTGTGGGCGCAATTGGCTGCCGAGTTTTGCCCACAAAATAGACAGTTAATTCACTTTACAGTATATTCTATGAAGTGCTTTGGGACGTTTTGAAGACATGATAAGGCACTGTATCAAATGCAAGAATTGTTATCATCATAGCAAAAGTTACAAAATTGTCTCTACTGACCTTGCACAGAACTTGCGATAGATGCAGTAGGATAATTTATGTTGTACTTTTAATTATATTTTTGCCTACAAATACACAGTCAGTACATTTACAGTAAAATTCTGTGAGACATTTCAAGGACATGATAAAGCACTAAATCAAATGAAAAGATTTTTTTTATGACGTTTTGTAAAGCACTTAAAGACTTTTCTTTGTTTTATTTGCTGTACCGATGCAAGTCATTTCTGGAAATGAAATGCTATTCCTGTATGCATAATATCCACTCATTCAAGAGAAATCTAGAGAGATTTTATTGAAGAAAAGGAGGATTTTTTAAGCAAGAGCAGATCAACAGGTAACCTAATTACCTTATGATGTCAGTTGCAGTGTAGCAGGGTAAAAATAATACTTCGCAATTGCCCTTGTGTGTCCTATCTATCTGTGTGAGTAAGTAACTTAGCAATAAATAGGAACCCAGTTGTTAGTTGATTGGTGGATCGCTTTTCCGGGTGTGTGTAAAAAAAACAATAATAATTTGGTTACTCAATCCATGACTGTTTGTGGGGCACTGCTGTGCGCAATTGGCTGCCGAGTTTTGCCCAGTCAATTCACTTAACAGTATATTCTGTGAGGTGTTTTGAGACGTATAGAAGATAATAATAATAATAATCCTTGCATTTGATATAGTGCTTTTTCACGTCGGGAGGACGTCCCAAAGCGCTTCACAGAGCACACTGTAAAGTGAATTGACTGTATATTTGTGGGCGAACGCGGCAGCCAATTGCGCACAGCAGTGTCCACAAACAGTCGTAGATTGAAAATGACCAATTTTATTATTGTTTTGGGTTTTGGAGGGATTATTATTAGGCTCTGTGTGGAGTAAGGAAACTTGCCCAAGGTTTCGCCCTCTGCCTGGAATTGAACTCAGGTCTCTCGCTTGCAAAGCGAGTGCTCTAACCACTGAGCTACAGGACTCCACGATGTGAGAAGCGCTATATCAAATGCAAGGATTATTATCATCTATCTGTATGATGGTGGTTGGGTCCTATCTATCTGTTTGATGTCAAATCAATAATAATAAAAATACTGCCACAATGACACAAAAAGTCAGACTTGGTTAGCAATTTCCAGATATGACCAGTGTTTTGAACCCTAGTTTGCATTGCTTGACAGATGATTTTTAAAAAAAAAAAAATTGTTTGTGTGTTTTAGATCAGAATCTGCTCCCGTCCATGTTGAGAACTAACCTGAAAGCCATTGCCTGTCAGATGCAGAAACTGGCAGATCTGGTTCCAGACACCTGTGTTAGCGGAGCGCAAAGGTTAGTGAAAATCAGATAATGTAAGATAAAATAACATCTGGCAATGACAACGAATCATAGGTTGTGATCTGTGAATCAAAGCAAAATTAGATACAGCCATTTCAATCAGTTGTTCAAACTGACCGTTTTTGGGAATACGTGGTCGACTGTAGCCAATACAGTATCTACTGATCCAAGTGTTTGTCTTCAGTGGATTGAACCCGATCACATTTATTCTAAAGAATTTGTGAGGGTGTCTGGATGTCTTGACATTTGTGGAATCTCATCACCATGTTTAAGAGTTTCCAAACTACACATGGAAATGCCTGTGTCTGAAATGGAATATGCAATCTCTCTCCCCAGAGGAATTCATTCTGTTTACCCAATTCCAGAGAGTATTAGTGGAAGTTGGCAAGAGTGCTGATTTTAACCAGCTAAAACTGCGTAGCTTTCCATTAAAAGCACTGACTGGCAAGCTTCCTGATGCCTGTCCAGCTAGGATCATACATTGCAGGGTTAACAGGAGTTGAGCGGGAAGAGCCCCTGCCCCAAGTGAGAATTCATGAGTCAGTTGTAGCATTTAACTAAAATAGAAAAATGGTCTCAACATTATTTAGGTGTGTTACTCTGTCTGCAGGCGTGTCCATGAGAAATCAGTATTTCACACCTGAGGATTATCTGGGAGCGAAAGGAGAGAGTTCAGAGGTCTGCCTATCTCTGCTGTGAGTTTAACAATAATGCCCTGTGTTTTTCCTGTTTTCAAGAGTTACGGATGTCTTGAATGACATTTCTGAAAGGGTTTCTGATTTACGAAACCTGTTGCTTGAATCAACACTCAGGACCTGCAGGGAGCCAGGAAATGAAGTGGAACCCGAGGTGAAACAGGACTACAAAGATGAAAATACTTTGTCCAAAGATAGTTTGGGAAACAACCACAAAGGAAGTGGGAGTTGGAAAGAATGGGATGAAGAAAGTACCTTGGCCAATTCACCATCTAATCATGAGGAGACTGAGATACCACACTCAAAATCTCTGGAGAGCATCTTCAGTGCTAGTGGTGTACGGGCAGAACCCACTCCCAATAAGGATAACATAATGTCTTTAGAAATAACTGAATACGAGCTTCAGATGTTAGAACGTCAAGCAGAAGAAGAAGATGCCATGGAAAATGCTATTCTTTCTTCGCCCATCAAGGTAAAACATAGTGTTAAATTATAATCTGTTGTAATTAAATACTTTGCTTCCCCGACAGTAAGATTCTAAAAGCCTGAATGCACTCGATCCCCATTCGTAAAATGCTGCTTAACATCAGATGTGAAATATTGAATTTCTCATGGACATGCCTAAAATAAGAAACAATACTTTGCGATCTTTCATTAGTCATTGCATATTGCAGCAAGAAGGTAAAATCTAAAAAATAATCCTTGCATTTAATATTGCATCTTAAATATCCTGAAGCACTGCACAATATCTGCTAGAGTGCAGTGACTTTGCAGGTGAACAAGGTAACTCATTTGCACTCAATGATTGTCCTATAATCAGGACAATACACTGAATGAGTAATTTTATCGGGATTGCTGGCCTGGACAACAAGAGAATTTCACTTCTCTTTTCGAAGAGTGCTTTGGGATCATTAATGTCCACCTGAACACAAATAGGACCTCGGTTTAATGTCTCATCCAGACAGTGCCTCTGACAATACAGTGCTCTCCCATCATTTCACTGGAGTGTCTGCCTTGATCTTGAGCTCAAAGGCCAATGTGGGGCTTGAACCTACAACCATTGACAGAGTCTGCTACAAATCTGTATTTGAATAATTGTAACTTGAGCAAAGGACTTGAAAAGTACCTCAGTAGAAACCAAGGTTTTATTCTGTGTCCTTCAGCCCTGAAACTGTACCTGGTCTTAGCCTCAAAGGCTATTTTGTCTTTTTAAAAAAAAATAGTGCAGAATTTTTAAAAATTCTTAAATTCAGCCTTAATTTAGAAGTTGGTTTCCCAATATATATTTTTGAATTGTAAGACAATAGTCTTAAGACTAAGACCATTAGAAATTGTAGGCCTTTGGTACTCTGGCCATAACAATGCCAATGTGAATCGCCTGGAATACAGATTATCTCTGCCTGTCAGCTGTCTCGTACAAAATATGAGGCCGCAATCATTTCAAATACTGTAGTTGGCACACAAATGTCTGATCTCTATCCCTTGTACCAGATAATCTTCAGACAACCACATCTATAGGTGAATCATCCGGATTGTAAGTAGCGCACTGTAACTGCCTCAAATGATGCTCGGGACTTCTACAGTGTGTTACTAATGGGTATTTTAGACTGCGCATTGTTTTCACTTCACAGCAGTTACTTGCTTTGGTGTCCTTTTTGCAGGCAAGAGTACAGCAAGAAACAGATGTCTCGTATTTGATTGAAAGTGACGAGGAGCTGGAGAGTGAGATGCTCAAGGTGAAAATCATAAACTGTTACAGCCAGCAAGGAAATTAGGGAGAAGGGAATAATAATATAATTCTTGCATTTAGTATAGCACCTTTCACGTCTGGAGGATGTCCCAAAGCTCTTCCAGGATATAATGCAGAGTGCTGTGACTGTGTTTAGTGGACGAAATTGGCAGTCGAATAGAGGACGATGAAGGGGAGGGGAGGCTGGGGAAGGGGATTAGGATGAGTGGAGAGTCATAAGGTGCTATAGGTTCTATGTAATTGAATATAATAATAATATTCCTTGCAATTGATATAACGGCTTATCATGGCTTTGAAACGTCTCAAGTGCTTCACAGAATCTACTGTAAAGTAGTTTGACTATGTTTTGTGGGTGAAATGTAGCAGCCAATTGTGCACAGCAGTGTACCACAAATGGTCGTGGATTGAGTAACCACAGATTATTTTTATTTACATTTTTTTAAATTGCCTAACAACTGGGTTCCTACTTACTGCTATGTAAACAGAGGTGTGTGGAGTAAGGAAACTTAAGCGCTCTCAGACACTACCCTGCGTGGAGGGCGCTATATAAGCGCATGTTGTTAATAATAATAATAATAATAATAATCCTTGCATTTGATATAGCGCTTTTCACGTCGGGAGGACGTCCCAAAGCGCTTCACAGAACACACTGTAAAGTGAATTGACTGTATATTTGTGGGCGAACGCGGCAGCCAATTGCGCACAGCAATGTCCCACAAACAGTTGTAGATTGAAAATGACCAATTTAATTATTGTTTGTGGTTTTGGAGGGATTATTATTAGGCTCTGTGTGGAGTAAGGAAACTTGCCCAAAGTTTCGCCCTCTGCCTGGAATTGAACTCAGGTCTCTCACTTGCAAAGCGAGTGCTCTATCCACTGAGCTGTTATTGTTGCCCAACATTTTGCCCTGCCTGCAAATTGAACCCAGGTCCTCTCGCTTGTGAAGCAAGTGCTCTAACCACAAAACTACATTATAAAAACTATTCGGCCCATCAGGTCTGCTCTGGTGTTTTTCTCTACATGAACCACATTTTCACGATCCTCTTATGTGAATTTTAGAATTTAAAAAATTCTAACCTTGCCTTTTTGTGACTACCTTAGTTTGTGCTCTCTTATTACTGAATATTAACAGTTGCCCTATCATAACAATTCATAATATTGAATATGGCTCTGGAACTCCATCCCCCAGTGCCTTCGCCGCTTCCTCCCTCTCCTCCTTCAAGGCCGGTCTCAAAACCTTTCTCTTTGACCGAGCCTTCAGTTCCCCTCTCGACTCTCTTCCCCCTCCTCGCTCCCTCCCTTCCCTCCCCTCACCCTGACCATTTCCCCCTCCTCACTCCTCCCTTCCCTCCCTCACCCTGACCATTTCCCCCTTCTCGGGTCCTGACCCAACTGTGCAGCGCCTTGGGACGTCCTCCTGACGTGAAAGGCGCTTTATAAATGGAATCTTGTTGTTGTTGTTGAAGATTTTATCCGTCTTATTCACCTCTTACCACTTGTGCCATTTCACAGTTACGTACCATTTATGTTAATTTTATAAGACAAATGCGTTTGTCCACAAAAAAGCCTTGATGAATGCAGGTCTGTCACAATTTTAGGTGGTGACTTACACCTCTGCCTCTCATGCATGTTGAAAGGTCATACATATCATGAGATTTCTTTAGCCACTGCTGAACACATGAGCAATCTGCCTTTCCACTGATCGACTGACCAGCCCCCGAGACAGACAATAAAGCCAATTGATCCTCACTGAGGTGAAAAGACAGCTGCACACACCATTTCAAATGATAAAAAATTGTAGTTTGTTAATTAAGAAGATAAATTAATCATTTGCCTCATGGAAGTTGGTTACAGACAACCAACAAAATTGATGGTTCCTACACTTTACAGTATATCTTATGAAACGTTTGAGATGCAATTTTTTCCTTTTCAAGTACCTATCTAATTGCTTTTTGAAAGTTGTTATTGAATCTGTTTCCACCACCCTTTCAAGCAGTGTGTTCCAGACCGTAACAACTTCTGTGTAAAATAATAATTATAATCCTTACATTTCAGCGCCTTGGGATGTCCTCCTGACGTGAAAGGGGTTTTACAAATGTTATTTTGTTTAGTGCCTTTCACGTTGGGAGACATTTCAAAGCTCATCAAAGGATATACTGTAAAGTTGACAGTGTGCAAATCTGGCAGCCAATTTGCACACAGCAGTGTCCCTCGAACAGCCATGAAGTGAATGACCAATTTTATATGAGGGATTGCTGTCCAGGATATCAGATGAAACCCTATTTGCTGGTGTGGATCTGCTTCTTAGAGTGGGACAGCACTCCATGCCAGGAAGAGAAGATTGGCATTAATTTGGGTTTTTTGATGATCAGAAGGTTAATAGTAGCTGATCAATACACTGTCTCGTAAGCATTATGCTGATGTTTAATGCAGGACTATACCAGGGCTCACCACAGTTTATATTCTCGCTTCTCTCCAGTTATAATAATAATCCTTGGGAAAACAGAAGTCGCTGGGAACACTCAGCAGGTCAGGCAGCAGCTATAGAGAAAGAAAGTGAGTCAACGTTTCAGGACTGTTCTGATGAAGGGTTATGAACCCGAAACGTTGACTCACTTTCCTTTCTCTATAGATGCTGCCTGACCTGCTGAGTGTTCCCAGCGACATCTGTTTTTGTTTCAGATTTCCAGCATCTGCAGTATTTTGCGTTTTGATGATAATCCTTGCATTTGATATCGCGCCTTATCAAGTCATTGAGATATCTCAAAGCGCTTCACAGAATATACTGTAAAGTGAATTGACTGTATATTATGTGGGAGAAATGCTAAGAGCCATGAATGTAAGCTACTTTGTGCACTCTGCCCTTTCTAATTCTCTCCTCACACACTGAACTTCTGTCGCTGGTGCTGGGCTTACATTCTCATTTGGCTGGGGTCGAAGTTGCATTGTAAGGTAGATAGGGGTATCCCAGTCATACCAGGCTCGCTTTGTGGAGGTGACCAGCTTTTATTTGTTTTTTAAACAGTTGCAAAAGGAAGCAACCTTTTATGCCACTAACCTTCGGAACCCCTGCCTCAATCTCCCTGCCTTGCTCCTCTTTATCAAAATTTAAATTTCACTTTACGACTTACCTTTCCAACCGCTCCTATGTTCCCCTCCCACTTTTCCCTAGGTATCCAACTGCACACACTACTGTATGGGGTTCTGAGACACTATTGTGTGTGAAGGGCACCATATAATAAGTTGTTATTGTTTTCAACTCGCTTGAAAGGGTTAACTTTCTGGATCTCATCAGAACAAACATGCACAGAGCATTGGCTTCCATAGCAATGCAAATGGATGTTGCAATGGGACTCTGTCCTGTGTGAGGGGCGCTGTATAAATACAAGTTGTTGTTGTTGCAATTACACAATCCCTGCTTGCACCATGGCACAAGCAGTTCTGATGTTTGGCACTAGTACATGCAGTTAAGTTAAGATGGTGCCATTAGGCTAAGCGAGGGGTAAAAGTAACATAAGTACTGTAACAACATCTATTATCCAGCTGAAAACGATGATCTATGAACATTGGATAGTAGGTTGGAGCTGAATCTGCCCCTGATTACTCCAGTTTCCAGCCTTGCCCCCAGTCCTCCTCCCCTCCTCAGCTCCTGCCTTACACAAATTTATGCTGAACTAGTTTACAAAGCATGCATCCTCATCATCTACTTGTGCAACAGCAACCATCTGAAAAGGATCCTTCTCCCGACCACAATACTCGCTGATTACTCTCTCTCTCTCTCTCTCTCTCTCTCTCTGCTGTAGCTGAAAAGCTCATTAACCAGTGGCAAAAAAAAGTTTTCAAAAAATCAAGGTGAATTAATTATTGATATTATTCATCTAAATTTTAAAAGTGGCACTGATAGGACATAGACGTCACAGGTCCCAAAGGCACCATTGCAGTTCACTTGGCTGATTTGGCCAGCCTCAAAGTTAGCAACTCATAAGTGCATATCAGGAAATATTTGCTTACTGATTTAGCTCAGCAGTTACCGTCTTTAAATTTCTTTCCTGTTTCTCTTTTCTTCCCCGTTCTCCCATCACATCTTCCAGTACTTTCAGGATCTGTGCCCTGAAGCTGAGACTAAAGCTCCTCTCAAGAATACGTCTGATTCATTGGAGGAGTTTGGTGATGATGAAGAGATAAAGGAAGAAGAAGACAAATGGGGTAAGATTGCTCAGGAAAAGGGTTTGCTATTCGCCATAGGTAGAATTTAGTCTGATCTGCTGAAGGTATCTACTCGTTCTCTTGCTGTGCAACTTCTCACTGTAAGAGCCATGTTCCACACTCTTTCATACGAATAGTGGTTCTCTCACTTATAAAAGAG